CGAGGTTATAACTGATTTAAGCATAGGTTTCCTTTCCGTCCGCCTCTATGAGCGTATTTTCTTTAATTTTTTTTTTTTAAGAAAATACTACATTTAAAGACCATTTTTGAAATCGAAATGTAATATTGAAAATGTTTTTGACAATTTACTTTACAAACAATAAGGAAAAAAGTTTGAAACCATATGATTGTCACTTACACCTTATTAAATACGCCTTGGAATATATGAACAAAATATTGTTCTGCTTAACACTAATTTGGGCTGTTTTTGGGGGTTGTCAAAAATTATTCGACCATAGCAAATATGCATGCAATGGGGGGAGCATATTTGTTGATGTTCCTCTCCACCGCATGACTATCTATGTGGTGGTAGTGGTGAAGTTATTTTGGGGTTCTTTTTTGGGTATTGAATATTTTTTTGGTATTTGCATAAATTTATTTGGCTCATATTGAAAAGTAAGTTTCGTTTTTATTTCTTAAATATTTGTCATGTTATGTCTGTAGGTAGATATGTATGTCAGTTATAATTGGTAGCTACCAATTATCAAGTGAAAATAAATAATATTCACAATTTGTCAGTTTATTAGTTTGTTTTGTTTTTGTTCTAAATTTGGCATAGTTATGCAGACATGACTGGAGTATATTAGTGGATTTTTTTATGTTATGGATGAGCCAAAGGAGTCAAGCAATCCGCCTTATAGAATATACAATAAGTTGTGTAATGCAGTCTGGATTACCGGATGATCCGGAGTACCAAGGTCCGGTTTATCGAGATTTATTGTATCTTAATCCACGATGGAACATGATCGAGATAAAGGGAGAGAGAAAACACGTATTTTCCGAAAAAGAAGAAAGAACATGAAAAACGTGAGCGTGAGTAAATCGAGATGTTCAGCAGTCAGAATGAAGTCCGGAAATTTTACCAACGAGTAAAACACCAAACCGAAGGCTTTGGTGCAGGCACATCTTCCTGTAGAGAAGAAGATGGAAACCTGGTGACAGATACAGATAGCGTGCTGAGGATCTGGATGGAGCATGTTAAAAAGCTTCTGCTATCAAATAGTGACGGTGAAGAAGATACCCAGAAACAATAAGAGATGACGGTATAGAGTGTATACGACCTAGTCAAGATGAGGCCAGAGTAGCAATTAACCGGCTGAAGAACAATAAAGCAGCAGGTGCCAATGGAGCATACACCAGCTGATTTGTGCATGCATGCCCAATGATTGGAACCTCAGCATTCTGTGTCCCGTGTACAAAAAGGAGACAATACGATATATGCCAACTATAGAGGAATAAGTCACCTACGCATATAAAGTGCTATTATAGGACCATACCAAAGCGGCTTCAGGCCTGGCGAATCCACCATTGAGCAGATTTTCACTCTGCGCCTGGAAAAAATCAACGAAAAACACATCGACTCATTTCACATATTCGTCGACTATGGAACAGCCGTTCTGTCATAAGACAGCTATGTAAATAAGTAAATAATCCACGATTTTTGAGCATGTCCGATATCTATCAAACCACTTAATATATTTAGCAGCTACCATATGAAATAATACATGGGAATTTTTAAGTTTCTCGTGTTTCTGTTTTTTTTTTGCAAAATTTTGATGATGTTCTTCTTATCGCTACAAAATAATTTCTTGACTTGGGGACCTATCTTGTGAGCATTTCTTTGATTATTTGAAATCACCTTTGTTATATTGAACTATGATTTGATTTGAAATTGTTTTGTTGTACCTTGGATTTGGGTATGAAATGTCAAATGTGATGGTGGTACACAAATATATAATTCTATAAACATTAGTTCTGACAATATAGGGGGCTTGATTGGTGGCGCAGAATTCGTTGATTTTTATTACGTTAAAGTTACGTATATTTAAGTATGCCCTCCCACTGTCTGGAGGCCGATTGTAAATAATTCCACTTATTTTCCCCCATGAAATGGAATTATTGAACTGTCTACAAAAATTCCACACGTTCATCGCATATTAAACTGATGCAATGTCCAAAGAAATCTAAAACAGACCGTCATGAAATATTAAGGTGATTCACACAAATACAATCATAAAAAATATATAAATTAAAGTCTTTCATGAAATTAAATAATGACAATAAAAATCCAATTAAAATGATCACTCCTACGCCGAGTGAAGTGGAAATTTCATTTAATGTTTCCCTTTCTTCTTCTTCTTTGGTAATAAAATATTAAATACCTTTAATGGTAATTTGCATTATTCGGTCAGAACTCTTTATTTTACATTCAATACTTATATGTCTGGACCGATAGGCTTAATATATATTACATATTACATTATATGTATTCATTTTTATTACAAAAAATTGAAAAAAAGAGAAATAAATATAAGACGCCGGTTGAAATTTAGTTATCAGTTTAAATATTTGCATCTTCTAATTGTTGTTGCTGTTGTTATTGCAGAATATTATTTATATTATGGAATTATTTTAATGTATTTCAAATTGTTTATTTATATTGTGTAAAACACCGACATACACACACACGCTCATACCTACCCATATACATTCCGAGGTACTATATATTTTGCTGGGGCATAGGCAAAGTAGAAAAAAAAAACAAATACAAAAACAAAAAGAGGATCAAAGTACGTGATAATACTGATCGAATCGAACTGAGGAGCAATGGGCCAGCCGAAACAGAGATTAACAAAATGCTATACGTTTTCGCAGTATAGGCTTTATTTTAATTTGCACACTGGGTGCAATAGAAATTTGTGGCAAACCTTCGTTCTTTGGATGCAACCGAGATCTATTAATAAGGTAATCTAGCAAGCGAAAGTCAGCTGTTTTTTCTCATGTCTAATGTCAAAATTTTGAAAAATAATGAATTTTGACAGCAAACTTGAAAATCAGCTGATATCCAGCTGGTCTCATTGGATGACCTTATTATCAGGTTTTGAATGCAACCATGGCACATTAAAGTGATTCCTTCACCAATAACAGCTGATCATTACAACAGCTGTTTAAAATAAATATTTTTTATGTAAATGACAACTTTGTCCTATCTGTTGCTTGAGCGTTCATATTTCCAAGTCCTCTTAATAAAATCACCAAGGGCTGTGGTGCAGACACATCCTCCTGTAGAGATGAAGAAGAAAAACTTGAGAATCTGGAAGGAGCATTTTGTAAGGCTTCTTGTATCAAATATTGACGGCGAAGAAGATACCCAGAACCAATTAGATTTGACGAAGAATAATAAAGCAACAAGTGTCAATGGGTTAACAGCCGAACTATTCAATACCGATGGTCAGACGCTGATCAGGAGCATGCACAAGCTGATTAGTAAAATTTGGCTAGAGGAATGCATGTCCAATTATTAGAACCTCAGGGTCCTGTGTCCGTGCTGTGTGAACGACCGAAACCAATGGTCAATGACGCCAAATCCTATAAAATACTCACGAAATACACATCGACACATTCCACCCATTCGTCGACTATAAAGCCCCATTCGACAGCCCAATCCACTCAGAAGTGTTTGAAGCCATGTCTACGTTCGACATTCCTGCAAAATTAATACGGTTATGCAGGATAATTTTAACTGGTACAAGGTCAGTAGTTAAAGTCCGAAATAACCTATCGGAGTCATTCACAGAATTAACACACAAGCACTTGTTACTCTCCTACGCCGATGACATCGACAAAATTGGTCGAAAATTGCGTGTGGTAACAGCCACATTTTGAGAACGAATCTGCCAAAGTGAAGTCTGGTATCAACGCACAAGACCTCCAGTGGACTCGGAACAACTGTGGAACTTGAAAACTGCAGTTTTGAGTCAGTCAGAGATTTCATCTACCTCGGTATACCATAATTAAAACAAATGATATCAGTTTTGAGATTCGGAAAAGAAGAGTGTTGGTCAACAGATGTTACTATGGTCTAAGTAAGCAATTTAGAAACAAGGTCACTTCTCGACAGAACCAACACTCTACAAGACGCTGATACTACCTACCTACGCTCCTACACCAAGGTGCCGGTACCAATCGATCACACGTATTTGGATGTAATCAACTTTTTGAATGAGTATCGGAGTCTTACTATTGGTCAGACGTCCGATTGTAATGCAACTAGCCGAATGATTAAACGTATAGCGCTACATCTTCGTTGAAGTATTTTGGCGCCCAATGGTCATCGAATACAATTGCACAAGATGAAATGTGTTCATATGAGGCCATAAAATATCACCGTCAGAAGAAGATGAATCGTCGGGCCCTGCATCTTCGTTGAAGTATTTTGGCGCCCAATGGTCACCGAATACAGTTGCGTCATGATGTAAACCATTGTAAACTTATACAAAGTAATCCATAGCATTATCCTAATTAACTACGCCAAAATTCATTTCTCAACTACTGTCCATGGACTGGACTTGGCGATGTTCCGCCAGTTAAATTACAATCCGAACAATAATACATGACAGCATTTATATATGCAACACATTAAAAACACAAATAGTAGCAACAATAACAACAACAACGATAATAAATTGAAATGAAATCGAAAACGAAGATTCATCCAGATCTGTATTGACAACCAGAAGAAGAAACGACGACGACGGTGGCGGCGACGACGATGCCGAGGAGGAGATAGCAAAATAAAGTAAATATTTTGCACGTTTACTTCTGATGATTTGTAGGATCGAGCCGACTAAATGAGATGATGATAATAATTTTTGTACTTAGATTTCGGAGCAAATGGCAATCAATCGAACGCGAACCGTACAAAAGATCTGACGAAACGAATAAAGCGCGAGTGATAATACGGATTAGTGAATATCGAGACTAAATGAAAACGATTCTCTGAAATTAAATGAAAATACTAATAAGAAAAATAATTTTGAAAACCAATTAGATTTAAGAAACGAAAATTTAAAAAAATCTATATTTTAGTTAAAAAAAGAAAAACAGTTACCAAAAAGTTCCCACATTTAATAAACACACAATAAGAAACACCTACACAAAATGACACAAGATTTCCAATCAAAACAAGATTACGCCCGTCAGCTACGTTATGCACGATCAAAATTTCGACGCATCAACTCATTGGACTTGATACCCGAGGATCCCAGTCAAGAGGAATCCAATGACGAAGATGAAGATAGTGTGGCCATACAATCGCCCACCCTATTAAGTCGTTCAAATACCGGCATCAATCAAAAACTACTACCGCAACAACAACAGCAGCAGCAAACACAACGATCCGCCTCCAACGCCACCGGTCCACAAACAATAGCAACACGTTTCCAAAAGATCCTATGGTTCTGGCCGAACCTGCTTATGAACTTAGTTCTTCTATTGCTGCGCTATCTACTCTACATACCCTTGTCCATTGCGGCTCCCAGTTTTTGGCTCTCCGCTGTGTTGTGGATATTTTGGAAAATCATAAGAATACCTGTGGAATTCTTCAAATGGATTTTCAACTTCGATAATGGCACTGCTGCACAAGGCGTCTCGCAAGGAGCTGGGGTACCGAAGCGTACCGTACTCATTAGCTGTGGCAGTACAATACAAACTCTACATTTGGCTAGGAATTTCTATTCTTCATCCGGAGCGCGAGTTGTGGTCTTTGAATTTGAGGGACATTTCGGTCTGGCCCGCTTCTCAGCAGCCGTTGACAAATTCTACACTGTACCCAAACCGACTCCGCAAAATATCGACAGCTACATTACAGCCCTGTGTCATATCGTACGCAGGGAGAAACCCTCAGTTTATATTCCGGTATGTGCCACAAGTCCGGCGTACTATGATGCTGTGGCCAAGCCGCATTTGGAATTGTTGGGTTGTGCAACATTTATGACCGGTGTCCAGGAAACCCTCATACTCGACGATTGCTTGCAGTTCTATCAGAGATGTGCCTCACAGAATATTGCTGTACCACCCTATGTAGCTCTATCAGCGGCCCATGAACTGTGGGAGTTATATGAAGAAGGTTTCATTAGTCAATTCCGCCACATTCTCTTGGCTGTGGGCATGCAAGGTGTATTGGAGAGATTTAAATACATGCTACCACGCCAACTGCGTGATCTACGTTTCTCCCATGAAATCAACGAACGTCAAAAGTGGCTGGTGGTACGCGATGTACCCGGCGAACATTATGTCACCTGTACCACAATTAAATCCAGCCAAGTGGCTGCCAATGTAAGTTGTCGCGTTGATAGTGATACCAAAAATCTGATACCAGTCACAGCCAGCGATACCCAGCTCATTGACAACTGGCTGAGGACTTTCTTTGGTAAGGTTCGTTTCCAACGACCCATCAATTGTCACATTAGTTTCCGTCTCATTAAATGCCAATCGACGGGACAATTTTTACCGCTGGGCATTCGTTTGGGTGTTTCACTACCCTATATCTGTCATAATCGTTCACATGCTCAGATCTTGTGTCGCACCATGAAATGTGTTCATATGAGACCATTGAATTTCAACACATCCCCGACAGAAGAAGATGAAACGTCGGGCGCTGCATCTTCGTTGGCATATTTTGGCGCCCAATGGTCATCGGACACAGTTGCGTTAGATAAACGTGAAGCTCTGTTTGCCTATTGGGATCCATTGCCCTATTGTGCATATTATCATTTTCAATTGCCATTGGAATCGGTTAAAAGTTTTCTTCAGAGACGTCGTAAGACGACACCAAAAGCTGCTACGGCGGCTCACCTCTCCACAGCGTTACATTGAAATATTTTCAATTGGTTTAGGTTTCGAAGTTGTTGTTGCAAGCAGAAAAACACATAAACGAAAGCCACTCTTCTACTTCTTGGTAATGTAACGTAAAATTTGTGTGTATTTGCTCGCTAGAATAAGTATAAGGAAGATATAGACGAACGGATGCTCTTACTCGGCATGTAGGATTTAAATTTCATGCCTATTAATGTCATTTTAATCTGCTAATTTATATAAAATTTTAATCGTTTTACTGTGTTAAAAACTAAATATCAGTCTGTTTCCGTGCTGACAAGAATCTACTAATTTTTTTTTTGATATCAGTAAAATTTTACATTCTGCAGGTTCTGGAACAAACATAGTTCGAAAATTGTATCCTCCGATAAAATTATGAAACAAAGTCTTGCCAATTCCCCATAAACAAATTTTCGAATCATGTTGACTTTGAAATTATTGAGCAATCCGTGTTCTATACTCTTCATTTTAGTACTCAAAAACCTGAAAAACTTCTCAAATTTGTAAATGGAGAATCAAAAAATAGATTTTTCTGAAACATAGCATCCCTATCGAACGTTTAACGGAAATACCATTTATTTGACATATATGTTAAGTAAATGACAAACAAATTTAGATTTATCGGAAAATTATTATATTTAAACGTAAAGCTCATTGTCAAATTTAAGTAATAGAAAATAGAGGAAAAAAGCGCCACTTTTTTTTTAAACGGCTTGTAGATTAAAACTTTTGCCTCCTCCATGAGGGTTTAATTCACATATTTGTAATGGAATTGACAATTTAGATCTAAAATAAATCCTGTACAATGTAAAAGTACTATTAACTCCATTTACCATACGAAATTAAATCCACTCGATTTGCTCGAGATAATAAATACTTAAAGATAAGTTAAAATTGAAAATAGTCCAGTAACATAAATATGACAACAGTTAAAATATTGAAAATTTAATATAAATACTTTATGAGGATTTATTTGACATATACGCAATTTAAACCCACTGGGTTTACGAAATTCAGTACAATGTATATGTACTCTTATTATAATTGAAAACAACATATTTTTATGAATTTTTTACCTAATAAAGAGCAATTCCTATTAGAGTTGTGAAAATATCGATTGAAAAATTGACACATAAATTGTCAAACCATTGAAATGTGTTCATATACGTAAACAAAAAACCGCTGACTGTCAACTTTATATTATTTTAAGAAATAGACACTCCATTTAGCCCAGCTGGCTATCCGATTTCTAATTGAATTCGACGTCTAATGTTGCCAACCATGGGAAACATTACTAGATAAAATCCATGATGTAATAATAAGGTGATGTATCAAAACAAAAACCTTTGTTTTTGTCTCGATTATCTGTCAAATTTGTCCATATAATATTTCAAATGGTTGGCAACACTGCACATCGAATTCAAGTAGAAATTACCTACTTTGACAGTTAATCAAGACATCAGCTGTGCTAAATGGACTACCTATTCATTGTGTCATGAATTTCGTGAATTGACTTCCATTATAAAAACGTAAACAAAGACATAAGACTTTAAACAGCTGATTATTCGCTTGACTTTATTAAATTTGTTGTTACACGAGCCCTTAATGTCATATGTGCTGTCATACGACATTATTTATGTCTGTCAAAATTGGTACTATACATACATCTTTTACTTTTATTTATCAAACATATAATCATTTGATTTTTTGTTCGACCATTAATTTCAACATTTTCCTTATAATATTTCAAATAGTTGGCAACATTCTATCAGAATTTTTTTTTCATTTGCCACACAAACAAAACATCTGTTTCCTTTGCATATATGTGAATAAATCCTCATAAAAATCCGTTTTAACAAGCGACAAGACAGCCGATGACAATTGAGTTCATGCTTTGATTAGTTTCTTTAATCAATAATTTGTACACATTTTTACAAATGTAATTCGTTTATCCAAAAGTCCAGTAAAAGAATTAAGAGAGCAGATGTGACAGTTGTGTTACTAAGTATTTGCAAATTCTTACAAGGAAAAGTTTACTCAGTAAAAATATTCCTGTACCATGAGCTGATATTTAATCAGCTGTTTTATTATGTTTTGTAAACAATCACCAAATTTGCTCTCAAGCAAAAAGTTTTGTGATTTTTTTTTGTTTTTGTATTATTAAACTTAAAAAAAAAGAAAACTCTCTGCAAATTTTTACATTTTTAAATTCTCTCTGGAAAAGTAAAAAAAATCGTATTTACTCTCCCAAATTTTTAAAAAAAAATAAATGAAAACACCAGGTTAATGTTGAATACAGTAATAGTACGTTTACATTTCACTGGATTTATTAAATCCACTAAATTTATATTGTCAATTTCATTACATATTTGCCAAATAAATCCTCATAGAGGCAAAAAGATCTAATGTAAATGGAACATTTTTTAAATTCCAACTTTTGATATTTCGTGATTTCGTTTAAAATTATGGGATGATATATTTTTGAATTGAATGGTTTAAGTTGTCATCTCCTTTAAATGTATGTCAAATAAATGACTATTTCCATAAAACATTATCGGTGTAAATTTACACAAAAATGTTTAAGTTTTTTCTCTGACAGTATATAAGATCAAATGAAAGACTATTTCCGTGAGAGAAGAGAGTAGTGAAAATATAATATATTTTTAAAGAGAAAGAGTGAGAGACAGAGAGTATATCAATGCGAGCAATATCAAACACACACAGAGAGAGAATTATATAGACTGATATATTTGATATTTGTTTTGATTGTTTTTTGTTTATTTTTGCATTTTTTATTTTTGTTGTTGATTACATGTAAATGTGTGTAAATGGTCGGAACGACATTACATGATACTTTTAACCAAACAAATAGCTCCCCTCCGCTAAAAAAAAAACCACTCCCCCAAATAACGATTTACATATGTGTATGTACGCAATGCATATGTATAGGTGATGATTAAGTGATTAAACAATGATTATTTTAATAATTATTATTATTATAAATATTATTTTTATGAGTTACACCATTATTATTAAGCTAGAATTAAGTAAAAATATTATACATTTTATTTACGCACCAAATAAATTTGTTCATTTTTATTTCAAAGAATATTTCTTTGTTTTGTGTGTTTTATTTTTTTAATTCTGGTAAACTTGGTTTTAACTGGTTTAGAACATTTTATTTATTTTTTGGTAATAGGTTTACACTCTTTTTATGCAAACGCCAGGACAACTTGGTTACAACTAAAATGCATTACCTTTATTCAAATGCGTTTTAGCCACAATTAAACAGGGGGGTGCTTTTTTAGGTGGATGTCCTTTTGTTGTTGTTGTTGATATTATGTGTGTGTGTATGTGTGCATATGTACATATGAATGTTTACATTTTCAGCACATTTTATTGTGGTTGATCTATAGTTTTGTTTTCATTTTTCAAATAAAAGTGCACGTGTAAAATGTATATACACCTGTACATGCATGTGTGTGTGCGTGATCCGTTTTCATGGCAACGGGTGATAAGGACTATGAATGGCCGGTCCAACAGACAAAATATTTACTATGAAAAGGACATCGGAAGGTGTTGCCAGCCAGTCCATCATTATGACCACTTGTCATCATTCGTTTTTTTGTAATTTGTTGCTTTCTTCATTTTCCAAAATATTCATAGTTCAAATTCAAGCTCATGGTAATAATTTATGCCTATTTCAATTAATTCATGCTTGTGCTAACAAAAAATTATTATCTCTAATTTTGCAATGTTTTGCAAAAAAACAATAAAATATATATTTTGTTGTTGTCAAAATTGCTTGACCTTGATTATCTTCGATTTGTTTGTTTTTGGCTATAAATAAAACTTTTAAAGATAGAGAAGATTCTGAATCATGCCTGAGCGTAAATACAATTTATTTGAAAATTTAGTTGCTAAGTTGTTCGAAAAAGTATATGGAAATTCGAAGGAGCTTAATGGTTTCTATGGGAGTTTTCATTAAATCCACTTGCATATGATGGAGGGTAGATTTATTTTGTTATTCGGTTTGTAAGAGTGACATATTCGATAATTTGCACAAATTATTACTGGATGTTATTCGTTTTCGTAAAAGTCCTGTAAAAGAGAGTGAATTGAGAGAGCAGATTTAACTGTTATGTTTCTCAGTATCATGGCACAATAAATAGGTAGCCCATTTAGCGCAGTTGATGTTTCGATTAACCGTCAAAGTGTGTAATTTCTACTTGAATTTGATGTGCAAAGTTGCCAATTTATTAGCCTTATTCTGAATATTCGTTGGGAGATATCTCGCATGCAAAAAAAATTTCGCTTTCACATTCTCGCCTTATTCTGAATGCATAGGGAGACGCAAAAAATGCGAGATGCAGATTCGAGTTTTCGAAAATGGTGGTTGAAAAAAAGATTTGTGTTGCCATATTGTAATTTAAGTTCTAACGACTGTGGCCATATTGTAATTTAAGTTGCAATATGTGTTGCCCTATTGTAATTTAATTGTGTAATATTTTTCAATATTTTATTTATTGATTTTTTTTATTAAAAATGTTTACTTTTTATTGTTATTTAAACTTTATAACAATACAAATGTGAAATATCAATAATCCGCTGTATAATAGCTTTGTAATTAAAAGAAAATAAATTAAAGTTTAAAAATATGGCAACCTACAATATGGCATGTGAAACAGCTGTTCATTGTTTTGATGCAATTTGGTGCAACAACTACAACAAGATTATAAATAAAAGAACAATTATGATGGCAAAAACACAACGAATAATGGAAAGAAATATGCGATTGAATTAATTAATTCAGTTTATTATTTCACTACATAATTGTGTGCCTTTTTATTAAATTTCGATATTTATTTCCCCAGATTCTTAAATTGGCCTGTTATGTTATGATTACGATAATTTAAAAAAAATATATATTTTTTTGTTCTTTCGTAATTTTTATTTAAGTTTTTCACTGTTAAGCGGCTCATAAGGCAAATTTGGTGTTT